CGAAGTTACAGAAAATCAATTAACAAACGGAGACGTAACAATACTATAAATATATAGTAAGCGAACATGTGGTCAACTGCTGAAGGTTTTAATGTCGTGACGTGTTACCCTGTTGTCCAGAGTAACGTCAAATTACGCTATATGCATACAGAACAGATAACAAAGTGCGAATAATTTTAAATTGTTTGACGTTTACAGAATATTTGACGACAAAACGTGTACTTCAGACATTCGGCCGAGTGGTAAGGGTATTCGGACTGTGCATCTGAGGGTTTCATGATTTGCATCCCAATGTAAAAAAAAAAAGCATTCCACGCTTTGGGACCGTGGGTTCGCTGTAAGATTTATGGTCAAGTCGCACTATTCGATTAGAAAAGGTTGCTCACTAGTTGGCGGTGGGTGATGTTGGCTAGCTGCCTTCTCCTTAGCCTATCAGTTCTAAATTAGGAACGGCTATATGCAGATATCCCTGGTATGACTTTGTATGAAAATTCCAAAAAACAAATAAACATTTAGACGTTTTATGAATAGTTTTCGCTCATTATTCACGAACGTTTTATATCCTTTGTGTATTGTTGACAAGAATAACCCTAGACACAAAGGAAGAAGTTTAATTTTGCCTTACACAAGTATCGAATATTTGTGCAAAGGCTATCTGCGTAAGCCGTCTCTAATTTGGAACTGATAAAGTAGAGGGAAGAAAAGTAGTCGACAGCACCCACCACAAATTGTTGGGTTACTTTAATCGAACAGTGTGATTTGGCAGTTATATAACGCACTATGACCTCGTGCGGAGAGTGATTTTTCTGCAATTGGACCTGAACCACGAGCCCTCGGATTCAAAATCCGACACGCTAACCACTAGGTCATTCCCGATCTACACAGTTATTGCGAGACTTCCTATTTAAATCACTTTTTACCAACTTCAAAACAATAGTGTAGAAATACGTTTTATTAAAAAAAATAAGTATGAAATCAATACAGAAATATAGTAGGTACTGTGAACATCCACATACTCGGACATTACTCTCATAAACTGCTTTAATAACCAATATATTATCAGAAATTAATGTATTATGTTTAGGCAAAATATTTGTCTGAAAAAACAAATCCCAATAACACGGTAAATACTTATAGGACAGAGAAATGTATTACAATCTAAACTAAATCCCAGTAAAGCTAATCTTGTTGCCGAAATCAAGCTTGTTCTCGGTTACATCTGTTGGAGACATTCATTAAATGCCAATCGTATTTGGTCGAATACTAGTCTTACAACTATATTCTTAATAATAAACCTGAACCACGGGCTACTACTCAAAAACTGTATCAAACGTGATTGACCTAGCACAGTAGTGTTTACATTTCCTGTATCAATCAAGTCGAATACCTGCAAAACAGAAGGCATTCCAGCGCCACCTATAGCAACTTGGACTTGTATTAGTAATGTTGACAGTGTCGCTCTTATTTCTTGAAAGAGCCACTTGCCAAAAAAGTAGAATCGACCATGTTGTTCAAATTGAACATTTGAAACTGAAAGATTGAAAAGCGCAACATCTCTTCCATCTGTTGTATTACATGAGACTTTAGCGTCTCCGACTCTCTGTATTTTTGAAAACCCGGATAGTTGTCCGTTATTCACTAAAATAAAAATCAATTGAAACCGTCCAGTACGGATAGGATCTGAAGCATTCAGAATGTCCTTTAGATATGTTACTAACTGATCCACAAAGGCGAGTGTGGAGTTACAGAGAGGTCCTGCATTTGTTGAATTGTTAGATCCAGTAGTACTTACTTTTTTTAGACTTTCACTAAAATGAACAATCGTGGCGTTTTCTAATAAAAGTTGAAGGTCAGGTATCAGAGAAGTAATCAGGGTTTTTAAGATCTGGGAATTAATTTCTGATTTAAAGCGTGAAATAATTATTTCATTCAAGGTTGATAGTGTGCCCATCAGAATATCGAAAGAAAAATCAATGTTGCTGCCAAAATTCCATGCACTAGAGACGTTCGTCAGAGTAAACACATCACTTGGAGTTTTCGCTGAGGTAAACTGTACTTGAACGGTGATGTCAGCAGGCCGTGCAATGAAACTGCCAGAAAAAGTAAAGTTTGGTAAAAAGGGGCTAATTCTCCCAGTAATCATCCCCGTTCCACTGATGTCAAGTTTAGGGGAAAATAAAATTATTTCTCCTTTTGTTATGGATTCATTAATGAGTTGAACATCCTTTACTTCGATAGAATTAAGTCCTAGAAGTTTTATAGCAGACAGTATAGTGTTGATATCTTTAAGACTTCCAGCAGTAATGGTGAAATCCAAGTCTGCAACTTGCAAAGGATCCGGAAGGTTTGAAACAGTTTTCTTCAGACTTTCGATCAATATATCATTTAGCTTTTCGGTAGAAATGATTTGGGTAGATGCATCTACTGAAAAGAACAATAAGAAATATGTCACATTTTTTTATCCTCACAAAAACAATATAAGTGGAATTGAGTCCTGTTTTTCCTCACAGTGGTTGTTTTTATTACAATATACACATAGAAGTAACACACAAAACAAACAAAAAACAACAGCGATAACTATACTGAGCACCAAACCCATAAAACACTTGGATGAAATTAATTTTCGAAATTTCTTTTATAATAGGAATTAATCTTGAACCATCGTATGAAAAATCAAACTATCTAATCTTTTTTTTGCTAAACCTTAAGGTTTGTGTGTCATTTCGATTAAAGGCATATAAAGTTCTTTTGAGTGATTAACTTCAACATTGAGTTAGCTGAGCGTATGATAACTGAAATTGCAGTTCTCGGCTCGGACTGGGATAGGTTTTGTTATCGAATGAATTACTGCAGTTTTGAGCTAAGCGTTGATATAGGTTTTGTTAATAATACGAGTTACTACAGTCCTGAGCTAGGTCTAGTACAGGTTTTTCTAACAATACAAGTTTCTACAGTTCTGAGCTAGGCCTGGTATAGATTTTTTTTATCGATACGAGTTACTTTAGTTCTAAGCTTGGTCTGATACAGATTTTATTGATAATACTAGTTAGTTTAGAGCTAAGCCTGGTATAGGTTAATAATACGAGTTACTTAATTCTGAGCTAGGTCTGGTATAGTTTTTTTTTTTTTATCGATACGAGTTACTTTAGTTCTAAGCTAGGTCTGATACAGGTTATGTTGATAATACTACTTAGTTTAGAGCTAACCCTGGTATAGGTTAATAATACGAGTTATTCAATTCTGAGCTAGGTCTGGTATAGTTTTTTTGTGTTTTTTTTATCGATACGAACATTCAGTCTTTGGTTATTGTTGAGCACAAAGCTACGCAATGGGCTATCTGTGCTCAGCCCACCAGGTATCTTATCCATACGAGATAATGCTTCTTACTGCATTATCCTTCATAATATTAAGTATGATTTACATTAAGATCAACTCGTTATATTGAATATATACAACTTCCCAGGTTTATATATTGGGAAGGAGAATTGTTTATTCACCTTGCTTTAACGTCTTATTTTTTGTCTTTATTAGACGCATTTCAACATCATAAAATCACTTAGTAACTCCCATCGCTATTAGTAAATTAGAAGAGATATCTTCCTGTCCCTAATCCACAATGTTATTGAAAAGATGTTCTTTTTATTTTCCGTAAATAATAAAAGAATCATTAATAGATTAAACTTACCTATTCCAAAGCAAACCAAAATCACAATAGCGATCGATTTAGCTACAAGCTTCATTGCCATGTGTTGTGTAACTATGGAAGAGAAGCGTAATCGTAACATCTACATGATTATGATTAAACACAACTTATTAGAAAATACACAATTATCTCTGAAAAATGAATACATTTATAGATATACATATACCTATAATTTAGGTCAGTGCTTCAAATGGGCTGATATTCAATACCAGTACTTCCATATTCCAAAGAGTTGCATACCGACACTTGTCATCATAGCCAGCAATATGTATCTAAATGCGTATCGCTACTTTTTCTTTGCCCCTTTTATCATATTTTTATGTGTTCCAGCTCATTACTTTTTGCCATTTCAAGTGCTGATTTAGGTATGCGTGTAAGTGAAAAAGCCAATAAATGATAATTACGCTCTGGGAGTAGGGCTTGAACCCAGCACCTTTGGCTAACAGGGCCATTATTCCACCACTGAGTTATCCAAAAGTACAAGCTGTTCCTCTCTCTCTTCGCTCATAAAGCTTCTATTTCTTACTTACAGTAATGTTTGTAAGACAATATTTCCTTTCTTTGGTTCATAAAAAGTATTGAATAGTAACAAAAATATATACACTTGAGTCTAGTTACACTTGTATAATATGGTTGGTAAATCAACAAACTTATTGTCTGACCAATATAACGTAGTATGTAGTTCATATTGTTGCGTCAGCGAGTCACATGACCACCGTGACGTAACGTTTCTAGAACTATCATGTACTTTGGCGAATGTTCAAGTTCTTACTAGAAATAGGGTACGCTGGTATATAAAAGAGGGGAATGTAATGGGTAGAGAGATAGTGAGTAATTGAACTGCAGTCACACGGTATTGTTGAGGTTAACGTTCGTTCGTTACAGTGTTGTTTTAACGCGAGTATTGAGATTAAGTGTATCGCAGAGTTATATTCGGAAAGAATAAACCAGTTTTATTAAGTAAAGAACTTGTGTCGCTTAAGTTTTGTCGGAACGAAGTTACGGGAAAATTAATTAACACACGGAGACGTAACAATATTTATAATAACAATTAAGAAAATGTATTATGGTTAAAGAGACAGGGGGTGGCTTGTGTTCTTGGATAGCACAGTGGTAGAGTAATGGTCGTGTTAACCAAAGATTTTCTTTTTCACTTCCAATCATGTTTATGTGAGGTGGTTTGTTTTCTTCAATTCATAGTATTGAAAAATTATGGTTATATTTTACTCTAAAATTATAATATTTATGAATCGTTTAACAAGCTTTCCAACCAGAAAAAAAATTGATTATAAGCATAAATTTAGGGCTATTTAGGAAAAAAAATTAACCATGTTCCCTAAAATATATTAGGGAAAATCAGGACAAACATTCAGTTCAACATGGTGGTTGACACTCAAATGATAACAACAAAGGTATTTGAAATAAAATGCTTGTTAGCAATAAACAAGGTTATCAAAATATAGTTATTACACCTGTCTATATATGCAGATACTGACGTCTTAATCTTAAATTTGGTTTTCTGAATTTTTCGTTTGTATATTTTTATACCAAAAAAACATTAATCTTACCTCAATGATTTCCTACTCAATCCACGTCCACGAAATCATCGCTTATGTATGCTTACTCAAAGCGACATCGTCATAAGATCGACAGCCCAAAGTCACCGGAAGTAAACAATGTATATATTTAAAGTGTGGCGATACGATACGAGTATCATATTGTTACGTCTCCGTTTGTTAATTAACTTTCCGTAACTTCGTTTCGACGAAACTTAAGCGACACAAGTCCTTTCTTAATAAAACTGGTTTATTATTTCCGAATATAATGTTACGTCTCCGTTTGTTAATTAACTTTCCGTAACTTCGTTCCGACGAAATTTTAACGACACAAGTCTTTACTTAATAAAACTGGTTTATTCTTTCCGAATATAACTTTACCGATACACTTAATCTCAATATTCGCGCTAAAACAAACACTATAACGAACGAACGTTAACTTCAACAATACCCTGTGACTGCAGTTCAATTACTCACTATATCTCCACAAAAAAATTCCCCTCTTTTATATACCAGCCTACCCTATATCTAGTAAGAACTAGAACATTCGCCAAAGTACA